TATCAAAATTATTATTTAAAGTTGAACCAAGAATATCAAATCTCTGATTCATATTAATAATATTATCATTAATTCTTCCAAATCAATTATTAATATTTCTATCTAAATTATTAAATCTTTGATTTACATTATTATTAATTTGATTAATATTTTGTCCATATTCATTTAATGTTTTACCAGCTGTAGTATTCTTTGGTTTAATTGATTGAAATGATTAAAAATATTATTATTTGTTTTTGTGTAATGAGTATTAATATTTCTATTTATATGATCTAATATAGTTTCTAATTGGATTTCTGATTGTCTAATTATATTAACCAATCTTTGATCACATTGTTGAAATTGATTTTGAAGATTTTGAAATTGATTTTGTAAATTTCTTATAGGTTGTAAACCCATTCCATTATGGAAAATATTATTATTTTCATTATTTCCATTATTTTCAGGTCTTGGAAGAATTGGAGATGGAGGTCTAGATGATATAGAAGGTGGTTGTTTTGGTGTGAGTTGTAATCCAATTCCAATATTTGGTGGTATTGGTCTATTATTTTCAACATACTATAATCTCAATTCTCTAATTGATTTTATTAATCTAGGATTTAAACATGGTTGTACTAATCCATTTTGAAATAGACACTGAAGATCATTATGATTATAATTTTCATTATCACAACAACCACATGCAGCAATATAATTTGGAATTCTAGGTCTTCTTGGTATTTTTAGTATTCTAGAAACTCTTGGTATTTTAGGAATATTTTGATTATAAAAAATAAATGGTTGTTGTTGTGGTATATTTATATATTGTTGTTAAAATGGTACATTTACATACTGATAGAGTATGTTTATATGATGATAAGGTATATTATTAAAATATGGATAATAATAAACAAATTGACATTTTACAAATTGTATTAATAATAATAAATATAATATTTTTATTTTTATTAAATTCATTTTATTTAACATATTAAAAGATTTTGTAGAAGCATGAATTGAAGAATTATTTGACCATTCATTTTGTATTGATTTTTAAATTTATCAATTTTCTTTTTAACTTCATTAAGTTGAGCATTTGAAATACAATTTGCTCTTCTATAACAATTTCTTTGAGTATGACTAATTTTACCACAGCATTGACATGATCTTAAATTTAATGATGGATTTTCAAAATATTTTTTTACAGATTTTCTTATATTGTTTAAATTTCCAATTACTAGTGGTGGTCTAATGGGACATTTTCTAATTGTATGACCCATAGCACCACATTGACTACAAGTTTTTCTATGATGAGGACGTGTTCTAATTACTATATTTGTTACCCAAGGAACTTTCCATTAACTTATTTTATTATCTTGATTTGAAAAAATCATTGATCTTTGAGATATAAGAACATTATTTCCATATGGTATAAGAGCATTATTTTGATTATATGGAATCATAGTATTATTTCTATTATAAAAAATCATAGCACGATTTCCATTATATGAAATTAATATAGGATTTCCATAATGAATTATATGTGTTAGACATGTTCTTCTATTATAATCACAATTTCCATATATTCCACATCTTGCAGCATATGTTTTTTTTTTTTTTTTTAAATATTAATGATAAGGCCATGCCTTTAACTTTATTAAAATTCAATTGAAGTTTTTACAAAG